GGCAACGGTGTATAGATGGAATTTGTATTTGTGGTCCTGGCAACTGGACTTCTTTTGGAACACCATTATTTTTGTCTTACTGAGATTTACTGTCAGGGCCCAGCTTCAGGAGTTGTGACCCATTTTTGTTGGTCACCTCCAGGTAGGTGGGCATATTTGGGAGGGAAAAGGTGGGCATATTTGGGAGGGAATACTGTCACCTCATTCGCACCCCTACCGCAAGAGCGACCCCCACCCTCGCCTCACCCCACACCCTAGACCACGACCGAGCCCACCCGACCCACCCACGACCGCACGCGACCCCCGACACGCGACCACGCGCACCTCCGCACGCAGGACGCGCGACCCCGACCCGAGCGCGACCCCTGACCGACACGCGAGACCACCCGACCCAGCGCCGACCCCACCGCGAGCGCGCGACCCACACACACGCACCCTAGCCGCACCCCCACACGCAGACTCGCTACCCCCACCGGGAGCAGCTCGACCACCCGACCGCGAGCGCGAGACCCCGACCGCTAGCCGCGACCCCTACCGCACCCGACCCCGACCTGCACGCGCGACCCCTACCCGGAGCGCCAACCCCTACCCTAGCGCGCGACCCCGACCTCAGCGCGCACCCCGACCGCGAGCGCGCGACCCCCGACCGCGAGCGCGGACCCACCGACCAGCCGACCACGCGACCCCCGACCGCGAGCGCGCGACCCCACCGGAGCGCGGACCCCCGACCGCGTAGGCGCTACGCCCCCCGAACCGCGAGGCGACCCGAACCCCCGACGCGCTAGACCCCACGCTCGACCCACCCGACCCCACGCGACGGCGCGACCCCCGACCGCGAGCGCGGACCCGACCGCGAGCGGCGACCCCTACCCCCGAGCGCGACCCCGACCCCGCGAAGCCGCGACACCCGACCCCACAGCGCGCGACCCCCGCGCGAGGCGCGACCCCCGACCGCGAGCGCGGACCCCCGACCGAGAGCGCGCGAACCCGACCCCCTAGCGGCATAACCCCCAACCCGAGCGCTCGACCCCCGACCGCTAGCGCGCGACTCCCCTACCGAGCGCGCTACCCCCTCTCTACCTCTCCGCCCTACCTATATCTCTCTAACCTCTATCTCTTACCCCTACCTCTATCCTCTAACCCCTACCTCTATCTCTCTACCCCTACCTCTATCTCGCTATCCTCTACCTCTCTCTCTCTACCCCCTACCGCTATCTCTTTTCCCCCATAATTATATTGCTCTACCCCCTACATCTACAGTGTAACTCTCTACCCCGTAGCCTGTTCAAAGATGCACACACACTGGCCAAATACTTCAGCTCTACGGGATCGGTGTCCCTTATACGGGACGGTTGTTGCTCAATATGCGATATGTGACTTGAATGGTGATGTTAACAACAGCCAGCTTTCCGGGACATAGACATTTCTTATATGGGCAGAAAGCTTGAAGTCTTGTTAATCTAACTGCACTGTCAAATGTAGAGTAGCTATTACAGTGAAAAAATACCATGCTATTGTTTGAGGATAGTGTACAACAACAAAACCCTATTATCACGGCAACTGGTTTGGTACATTCACCTCTGAAGGTAAATAATGTACTTACATTCAGTAGTGTTGCTCCGATTTGTCATCCTGAGGGTCCCAGCGATAAAATGTAGTGTAGTTTTGTTTGAAAAATCTATTTTTATATTCAAATGTAGTAACTGGGTTCTACAGTTTGACCTCTGACTCCACACCCACCCGGCCCGGCCATTTAAATGTGTGAAGGTTAGTGTTTTTTCTGTAGGGAAGCTAATGATCCATCATTTATGACATTCCCCGGAGTGGGCAAACTTAAATGTTGTATTACCATAGCATTTTTGTATGTTCTCTACAGTTATGTACCGTATTTTCCGCACTATAAGGCGCACCGGATTATAAGGCGCACCTTCAATGAATGGCCTATTTTAGAACTGTTTTCATATATAGGGCGCACCGGATTATAAGGCGCATAGAATAGAAGATACTGTAGTCAAACGAATTGACTGGGGTTGTGTTATGCATCCACTAGATGGAGCTGTACTAAAAGGAATGTCAACAAAACAGTCAGATAAAGTCAAACTTTATTAAGCGTTCTGACAACTCCGTTCACTCCCATGGTAATGTTGTTCAAACGTTAATGTGCATATTAACAATATCTCCCAGCCTTGCTCACTCTTCTCCCAAACGTGGAGGGGAACCTTTCCCTGATTCAGTAAACACGTAGTAAAAGAAACAGTCTGATACCACTAAATCAAACGTTAGTGCATAACTCAACATTGTTCAGTTACATATAACACGTAAAGCTCACTTTTTCAGTTCATTCCCCATCCACGAACCCCTCGAATTCTTCTTCTTCAGTGTCCGAATTGAACAGTTGGGCGACTACGGCATCCAACCTGCCCGGCTCCCTCTTGTCATTATCCGAGTCAGTGTCGCTGCTGTTGCCTGGCAGTTCAGAGATTATTCCTGCCTTCGTGAAAGCTTTGACCACAGTTGAGACCGATATATCAGCCCAGGCATCCACGATCCATTGGCAGATAGTGGCGTAAGTCGCCCGGCGCTGTCTCCCCGTCTTGGTGAACGTGTGTTCGCCTTCTGTCATCCACTGCTCCCACGTAGCTCGCAGTCTAGCTTTGAACGCCCTGTTGACACCAATATCTAGCGGCTGGAGTTCTTTAGTTAATCCACCCGGAATGACGGCAAGCTCCGAATTAGTTTGCTTCACTTGTTTTTTGACAGCATCGGTGATATGGGCGCGCATTGAGTCGTAGATCAATAGGGACGGAGCTGTGTGGAAAAAGCCACCCGGTCTCTTGACGTAAATTTCTCTCAGCCACTCACTCATCTTTTCCTCATCCATCCATCCCTTCGGGCTAGCTTTGATGACGACGCCGGCTGGAAAGTTCTCTTTTGGCAAGGTCTTCCTCTTGAAAATAATCATGGGTGGAAGTTTCTGGCCATTAGCCTGGCAGGCGAGAACTACAGTGAAGGATGACTTCTCATTCCCTGTGGTGCGTACAGACACCGTACTGGTCCCCCGTTTTCTCCACAGTGCGGTTCACGGGAATATCAAAGGTGAGTGGAACCTCGTCCATGTTGGTGATGTGCTCTGGCCGGATCTTCTTTTCAGTGATCTTCTTTTTGCAGTATGCGCGGAAAGTGACCAGCTTTTCTTGGTAATCTTTTGGCAGTTGCTGCGAGACGGTAGTTCGTGTGCGGATGGAGAGATTACGTCTTTTCATAAAACGAAAGCACCAAGAAGGACCGCCTCGAAATTCATCGATTGTCATGTCCCGTGCTAGCGCTGTTGCCTTCATTCGAATAGTGACTGTAGAGACGCTTCTACTTGCTGCTCTCTGTTCAACAACCCACTGTTCGAGTTTGTCCTCTAACTGTGGCCATCTCGCTTTGTTCCCTCGGAAACTCTGTTTAGTCTTCTTTACTTGGCGCAGGTCATCTTCTTGCTTCCTCCACTTCCGTACCATTGATTCATTAATGTTGAATTCTCTCGCTGCTGCTCTATTCCCATATTCTACTGCATGACCGACAGCCTTGAGCTTGAACTCTGCGTCGTAAGCGTGTCTCTTGAAAGGTGCCATTTTGGGGTCTTTATACACACACAAGTGGTGTGGGACTGTGAGTAAGCACATTACCGGTGTGTACTGGATACCGTAATGCTGCAAGTGGTGCGGCTTTGTAGTTTACCAGTCGTACTGAAACATTTCATTATTAAATTGTTTTTATTGGTTTTTCATACTGAAACATTTTGACAGAGCACCTTGAGCGCCGTGTACAACCAGTATGGATCAACCAATTAACCAATTGATCCATATATAAGGCGCTCCGGATTATAAGGCGCACTGTCGTTTTTTGAGAAAATTAAAGGCTTTTAAGTGCGCCTTATAGTGCGGAAAATACGGTACTTCAAAACCAATTTGGCACATTTGGGAAAACTCCTGGCAGACAAAATATTGTGTAGTGATGTACTTCTTCACTGGATCAGTCTGAAACTTAGCACACACACTGCTGCCATCTGGTGGACAACATATAAATTACATCTAGAATCCTACATCACTGGCTGGCCTTTCTCTTGCATTTCAAAGATGATGCAACAAAAAATTAATAGAAAACGCATTTATGTTGATTTTTTATTATCTTTTACCAGATCTAATGTGTTATATTCTCCTACATTAATTTCACATTTCCACAATCTTTAAAGTGATTCCTTTCAAATGATATCAAGAATATGCATGTCCTTGCTTCAGATCCTGAGCTGTCATTTTAGGCGTAAATTGATCCTACAGATTAACAAGCCATCAGACATGAGAGCACTAAATGTGGAATGAACTGAGCATTGAGTCTCTACAAAGTGAGAAGAGGGGTTTTATCAGAGAGATAGATATAGAGGACTATAGTGCCCGGAAGCCCGTTTTAGGCATGGGCAGCGCCATTGAGGACTTTCACAATTTTAAAGTAGTCAACTGGGTGGGACTTCCTATGGGTTTAAGGAAGTATCACATGATTCCATCCGGGTCATCAGGAGGGATCAGCCAATGAATTATACTTGTGAGCAAACATTCCATAACTGCAGGTGGCAGCAAATCGTCAACCTTGGCTTTTATACCTGTTCAGACAACACACTCCAGGTGGCAGCAAATCGTCAACCTTGGCTTTTTTAACCTGTTCAGACAACACACTCCAGGTGGGCAGCAAATCGTCAACCTTGGCTTTTTTAACCTGTTCAGACAACACACTCCAGGTGGCAGTATGCACCCTCTCAGTTTGTTTACCAACTCATAGAGGTAGTAGAAGAAGAAGAAGGAAAATGGACTACTTCAAAATGGAGATTGTCTCAATGGTGCTGCTTCCACAGATGCCATAATGGGACAGGCACAATGTTGCGTAACTATCCCTCCCCCTCAGGTGCAGACTGTCTGATGGGAGTGTACCTGTTCTTTGTCGGTGTGTTCGATGTGAAGTTTCGAGGGGAGTACAATCGGAACGCTCTCCTGTGGATGGAGAGTGTGGAATGTCGAACCATCGGATTCCTGGCTATGCTCTCCTCAGAGGTGAATTAACATGCGTGCACACACACACACACACACACACACACACACACACACACACACACACACACACACACACACACACACACACACACACACACACGTGGATGGTGAGAGAGTCCTAAGAGATGCAATGATTCTTCCAGAACATCATGTTCTGTCTCCGTGCCAACTCACAATGTTTTAATATATTTCCTCTCCCAATAAATGTGTTGCAAATGGCACCCTGTTCCATATAGTATAGTGCACTACTTTAGGGTGCCATTTAGAGTGCCGTTTGGGACGCAGGGTGCCATTTGGGACGCAGTCTGAGTATTTAAGCTGTTTCTTCTCATCCTGGTGCATTTTAACACTTCCCCAGAAGTCTGGAGGATCACTCTGTTCTAGCAGCCTGAGTCCCAGTCTGTGTGTGCCATCTGGCCAAATCATTGTCACTTATTTGGTCCCAGTCAGTTTCCACAGTTCCATAGGCTACTGTTGTACGGGGCCTTTGTGCAGGAATCTTGACGTTGAGGGAGGGAGGGAGGGAGGGAGGGAGGGAGTGGGAGGGAGGGAGTGGGAGGGAGGGAGAGAGGGAGGGAGGGAGGGAGAGAGGGAGGGAGGGAGAGAGGGAGGGAGGGAGGGAGGGAGGGAGGGAGGGAGGGAGGGAGGGAGGGAGGGAGGGAGGGAGGGAGGGAGGGAGGGAGGGAGGGAGGGAGGGAGGGAGGGGGGAGGGAGGGAGGGGGATGGGGGGAGAGGGAGAGAGGGTAGAGAGAGGGAGGGAGGGAGGGAGGGAGGGAGGAGAGGGAGAGAGGGAGAGAGGGAGAGAGGGAGAGGAGGGAGAGAGGGAGAGAGGGAGAGAGGGAGAGAGAGAGGGAGAGAGGGAGGGAGGGAGGGAGGGAGGGGGGAGGGAGGGAGGGGGATGGGGGAGAGGGAGAGAGGTAGAGAGGGAGGGAGGGAGGGAGAGGGAGGGAGGGAGGGCGAGAGGGAGAGAGGGAGAGAGAGAGAGAGAGGGAGAGAGAGAGACCCTAAAGCCTCTATCTGAGCTGTGCGTTTCCAACTCTAATACTGTTCCAGGTATCAGTTCTGCTGCTAACCTATCTGACGCTGGAGAAGTTTCTGGTCATAGTGTTTCCCTTCAGTCACCTGAGACCTGGAAAACTACAGACTGTGGTAAGTCACACTACATGCACCTGCTATAACACTACTTAAACCTGCTATAACAGGTAATAACTTACAACCAGACCAACGACAAACTGTGGTGCTTAAACAGTACTTAAACCTGCCATAACAGGTCATAAACATTTCATTACCACAGGCAACTGACATAACATGCCCTCTTTGAAATCTCAGTAGATGGATGCATTGCACTCTTTTTGTTTATAAAGCCCTCCTGCATAAACTTCCGGCGTACCTTACTTCATTGTTAACTTATAGACGTAGGAGATACCAGACCTGGAATCAGGGATGATTACTCTGGAGATCCCTTCGATCTCTACTGAGTTAGTTAAATCATCTTTTTTTTCTTTCTCCAAGGCTCTCTAAAAGGCACTGCATCGCAGTGCTAACTGTGCCACTAGAGATCCTGGTTCGAATCCAGGCTCTGTCGCAGCCGGCCACGACCGGGGGACACATGGGCGGCGCACAATTGGCCCAGCGTCGTCCAGGGTAGGGGAGGGAATGGCCGGCAGGGATGTAGCTCAGTTGATAGAGCATGGCGTTTGCAATGCCAGGGTTGTGGGTTTGATTCCCACTGGGGGCCAGTATAAAAAAAAAATATATATATACAGTGATCCCTCGCCACTTCGCGGTTCACTTATCGCGGATTCGCTATTTCGCGGATTTTCATAATGCATTTTTTTTTTTTTTTTTGGTGCATTGTGCTCTGCATTCTGATTCGCTAAAAACTCACTCCCGCTTCTTGTATCAAAACATGCTACGAATTGTGCTATCATTTTGTCGTCTCGTGCAGTTATGTGTACGTACATAAAACAGCTTGGCAAATTTACATTAAGTTGGCCAAATTATCTTGTAATTTCGAACATCTTCTAAACCCATAATGTCGACGAAACGGCCTACACGTGAGTCACTGTATTTGTATACATGTAATAGTTGCTAATTGTAAAAAAAAAAAAGTTTTCTATTTCGCGGATTTCACTTATCGCGGGTCATTTTCGGAACGTAACCCCCGCGATAAACGAGGGATTACTGTATATATATATGTATTCACTAATTGTAAGTCGCTCTGGATAAGAGCGTCTGCTAAATGACTAAAATGTAAAATGTAAATGTAAAATGTGATGAATTTGTGCCTGTAGAGCTATTGAAAAGGCTGATTGAGGACCTTTTTACTGAACAAAGTGTTTGTTTTCTGTTATTGTGTTTTGCTTTTAGCGTATTGACGTGAATATTGCTTTGTTATTGATGTATATGTGGGTTTATTGGTGTGTATTAATGTGTGTAGTGTGTATTGCTGTGTATTGATGTGTACTGTCATGTATATTGTGTATCGATGTGTATTGGTGTATATTGATGTGTATTGACATATGTTATATGGATGTTTATTGGTGTGTACTGATGTGTGCTGACGTGTACTGATGTGTAATGGTGTGTATTTATCTGTAAAGGGTAGAGCTGCCGCTTTCAAGGAGCGGGACTCTAACCCGGATGCTTATAAGAAATCCCGCTATGCCCTCCGACGAACCATCAAACAGGCAAAGAGTCAATACAGGACTAAGATTGAATCGTCCTACACCGGCTCTGACACCGGTCGGATGTGGCAGGGCTTGAAAACTATTACAGACTACAAAGGGAAGCACAGCCGCGAGCTGCCCAGTGACACAAGCCTACCAGACAAGCTAAATCACTTCCATGCTCGCTTCGAGGCAAGCAACACTGAAGCATGCATGAGAGCACCAGCTGTTACGGATGACTATGTGATCACACTCTCCGTAGCCGATGTGAGTAAGACCTTTAAACAGGTCAACATTCACAAGGCCGCAGGGCCAGACGGATTACCAGGACGTGTTCTCCGAGCACGCGCTGACCAACTGGCAAGTGTCTTCACTGACATTTTCAACATGTCCCTGACTGAGTCTGTAATACCAACATGTTTCAAGCAGACCACCATAGTCCCTGTGCCCAAGAACACTAAGATAGCCTGCCTAAATGACTACCGACCCGTAGCACTCACGTCTGTAGCCATGAAGTGCTTTGAAAGACAGGTCATGGCTCACATCAACACCATTATCCCAGAAACCCTAGACCCACTACAATTTGCATACCACCTCAACAGATGATGCAATCTCTATTGCACTCCACACTGCCCTTTCCCACCTGGACAAGAGGAACACCTACGTGAGAATGCTATTCATTGACTACAGCTCAGCGTTCAACACCATAGCGCCCTCAAAGCTCATCACTAAGCTAAGGATCCTGGGACTAAACACCTCCCTCTTAAACTTTTAGTTATTTGCTTACATTTTTTTTACTTAACACTTTTTTTTATTTTACTATTTCTTTAAAAAAACTGCATTGTTGGTTAAGGGCTTGTAAGTAAGCATTTCACTGTAAGGTCTACACCTGTTGTATACGGCGCATGTGGCAAATAACATTTGATTTGATTTGAGTATGTGTATTGGTGTGTACTGATGTGTATTGGTGTGTATTGATGTGTATATTGATATATATGTATGTGTAATTATGTATATTGATGTGTAATGATGTAAATTGATGTGTATTGATGTGAATTGGTGTGTATGCAGAGCTCATCTGAGAAAAAGACCAATGTGTTCTGTTCTTGTTCTTTTTTATTATATTATATTCTATTATGTTCTATTCTAGAATGTTCTATTATATTCTGTTCTATTATATTCTGTTCTATTCTATTCTAGTATGTTCTATTCTAGTATGTTCTATTCTACAGTATCCGGTGTCCTTTAGTGTTACCATCTCCTCCCACTAGGTGGTGCTGGTGTCTATCTGGGTGCTGGGGTTCATCATCGCCGTGGTTCCCCTGATGAATGAGGACCTGTTTGGGAACTACTATGGTCGTAACGGGGTCTGCTTCCCCCTACACTCAGACAGACAGGAGAAGCTCACTGCTAAAGGATACTCTATCGGCATATTCCTGGGTACGGTGTGTGTGTGTGTGTGTGTGTGTGTGTGTGTGTGTGTGTGTGTGTGTGTGTGTGTGTGTGTGTGTGTGTGTGTGTGTGTGTGTGAAATGTGTACCTGTAGAAAACTTGACTTTAGTAAAAATAACATCATGGCATAGGCACAGTAGTGCTGTCCTTGCTGGGTTAAGGGATGCTTGTTGGATAAAAGGATGCTTGTTGGGTAAAGGGATGCTTGTTGGATAAAGGGACGCTTGTTGGGTAAAGGGATGCTTGTTGGGTAAAGGGATGCTTGTTGGGTAAAGGGATGCTTGTTGGATAAAGGGATGCTTGTTGGGTAAAGGGATGCTTGTTGGGTAAAGGGATGCTTGTTGGGTAAAGGGATGCTTGTTGGGTAAAGGGATGCTTGTTGGATAAAGGGATGCTTGTTGGGTAAAGGGATGCTTGTTGGATAAAGGGATGCTTGTTGGGTAAAGGGATGCTTGTTGGGTAAAGGGATGCTTGTTGGATAAAGGGATGCTTGTTGGGTAAAGGGATGCTTGTTGGGTAAAGGGATGCTTGTTGGATAAAGGGACGCTTGTTGGGTAAAGGGATGCTTGTTGGGTAAAGGGATGCTTGTTGGATAAAGGGATGCTTGTTGGGTAAAGGGATGCTTGTTGGTTAAAGGGATGCTTGTTGGATTAAGGGATGCTTGTTGGGTAAAGGGATGCTTGTTGGTTAAAGGGATGCTTGTTGGGTAAAGGGATGCTTGTTGGGTAAAGGGATGCTTGTTGGATAAAGGGATGCTTGTTGGGTAAAGGGATGCTTGTTGGGTAAAGGGATGCTTGTTGGGTAAAGGGATGCTTGTTGGGTGAATGGATGCTTGTTGGGTGAAGGGATGCTTGTTGGATAAAGGGATGCTTGTTGGATAAAGGGATGCTTGTTGGGTAAAGGGATGCTTGTTGGGTAAAGGGATGCTTGTTGGATAAAGGGACGCTTGTTGGGTAAAGGGATGCTTGTTGGGTTAAAGGGATGCTTGTTGGATAAAGGGATGCTTGTTGGGTAAAGGGATGCTTGTTGGTTAAAGGGATGCTTGTTGGATTAAGGGATGCTTGTTGGGTAAAGGGATGCTTGTTGGTTAAAGGGATGCTTGTTGGGTAAAGGGATGCTTGTTGGGTAAAGGGATGCTTGTTGGATAAAGGGATGCTTGTTGGGTAAAGGGATGCTTGTTGGGTAAAGGGATGCTTGTTGGGTAAAGGGATGCTTGTTGGGTGAATGGATGCTTGTTGGGTGAAGGGATGCTTGTTGGATAAAGGGATGCTTGTTGGGTAAAGGGATGCTTGTTGGGTGAAGGGATGCTTGTTGGGTGAAGGGATGCTTGTTGGGTGAAGGGATGCTTGTTGGGTGAAGGGATGCTTGTTGGGTGAAGGGATGCTTGTTGGGTGAAGGGATGCTTGTTGGATAAAGGGATGCTTGTTGGGTAAAGGGATGCTTGTTGGGTAAAGGGATGCTAGTTGGATAAAGGGATGCTTGTTGGGTAAAGGGATGCTTGTTGGGTAAAGGGATGCTTGTTGGATAAAGGGATGCTTGTTGGGTAAAGGGATGCTTGTTGGGTAAAGGGATGCTTGTTGGGTAAAGTGATGCTTGTTGGATTCTCTCCATTATTTTTTTAATGATTCTCTGGATTCTCTTTGTGTTGCAGAATAGAGGGGATTAGAAACACTTCCCTTCTTTCACCGTTATCTCTTCACCATTATCTCTTCACCATTATCTCTTCACCGTTATCTCTTCATTATTATCTCTTCACCGTTATCTCTTCACCGTTATCTCTTCACCGTTATCTCTTCACCGTTATCTCTTCACCGTTATCTATTCACCGTTATCTCTTCACCGTTATCTCTTCACCGTTATCTCTTCACCATTATCTCTTCACCATTATCTCTTCTGCTTCATCTCTGTGACAACAAATATTCAAAACTGGAGCATAAACATAAACATTGCCTAGCCAGTGTTCTAGTCCTGGTGGTCTGTATGTACACTGAGTGTGCAAAACAAGGTGTTCCTAATGTTTGGTATACTCAGCGTATTTCTCTCATGCACATGAGTATGCATCTTTCTCGGGGGGAGAGATAGAGAGTTCTCTCAGGAGAGCGAGAGCATAGGTATACTCATCTAGCCTCTCAGGATCTCTCTCTCTCTATCTTCTAGCTCTCTCTCGATCGCGCTCTCTCTCTTCTTCTCATCTCTTCTCTCTCTCTCTCTCTCTCTCTCTCTCTCTCTCTCTCTCTCAATTTAAACGTCAATTGCCAAAGCAAGAGAAATACAGGTAAAGTATTTGATCCCCTGCTGATTTTGTACGTTTGCCCACTGACAAAGAAATTATCAGTCTATAATTTTAATGGTAGGTTTATTTGAACAGTGAGAGACAGAATAACAGCAAAAAAAATCCAGAAAAATGCATGTCAAAATGTTATAAATTGACTTGAATTTTAATGAGGGAAATAAGTATTTGACCCCTCTGCAAAACATGACTTAGTACTTGGTGGCAAAACCCTTGTTGGCAATCACAGAGGTCAGACGTTTCTTGTAGTTGGCCACCAGGTTTGCACACATCTCAGGAGGGATTTTGTCCCACTCCTCTTTGCAGATCTTCTCCAAGTCATTAAGGTTTCGAGGCTGACGTTTGGCAACTCAAACCTTCAGCTCCCTCCACAGATTTTCTATGGGATTAAGGTCTGGAGACTGGCTAGGCCACTCCAGGACCTTAATGTGCTTCTTCTTGAGCCACTCCTTTGTTGCCTTGGCCGTGTGTTTTGGGTCATTGTCATGCTGGAATACCCATCCACGACCCATTTTCAATGCCCTGGCTGAGGGAAGGAGGTTCTCACCCAAGATTTGACGGTACAAGGCCCCGTCCATCGTCCCTTTGATGCAGTGAAGTTGTCCTGTCCCCTTAGCAGAAAAACACCCCTAAAGCATAATGATTCCACCTCCATTTTTGACGGTGGGGATGGTGTTCTTGGGGTCATAGGCAGAATTCCTCCTCCTCCAAACACAGCGAGTTTAGTTAATGCCAAAGAGCTCCATTTTGGTCTCATCTGACCACAACACTTTCACCCAGTTCTCCTCTGAATCATTCAGATGTTCATTGGCAAACTTCAGACGGGCCTGTCTATGTGCTTTCTTGAGCAGGGGGACCTTGCGGGCGCTGCAGGATTTCAGTCCTTCACGGCGTAGTGTGTTACCAATTGTTTTCTTGGTGACTATGGTCCCAGCTGCCTTGAGATCATTGACAAGATCCTCCCGTGTAATTCTGGGCTGATTCCTCACCGTTCTCATGATCATTGCAACTCCACGAGGTGAGATCTTGCATGGAGCCCCAGGCCAAGGGAGATTGACAGTTATTTTGTGTTTCTTCCATTTGCGAATAATTACTAACCCTAACTGTTGTCACCTTCTCACCAAGCTGCTTGGTGATGGTCTTGTAGCCCATTCCAGCCTTGTGTAGGTCTACAATCTTGTCCCTGACATCCTTGGAGAGCTCTTTGGTCTTGGCCATGGTGGAGAGTTTGGAATCTGATTGATTGATTGCTTCTGTGTACAGGTGTCTTTTATACAGGTAACAAGCTGAGATTAGGAGCACTCCCTTTAAGAGTGTGCTCCTAATCTCAGCTCATTACCTGTATAAAAGACACCTGGGAGCCAGAAATCTTTCTGATTGAGAGGGGGTAAAATACTTATTTCCCTCATTAAAATGCAAATCAATTTATAACATTTTTTACATGCGTTTTTCTGGATTTTTTTGTTGTTATTCTGTCTCTCACTGTTCAAATAAACCCACCATTAAAATTATAGACTGATAATTTCTTTGTCAGTGGGCAAACGTACAAAATCAGCAGGGGATCAAATACTTTTTTCCCCTCACTGTAAATAATAAACAAAAGTGAAATAAACAATAAATATTAACAGTAAACATTACACTCAGAAGTTCCAAAAGAATAAAGACATTTCAAATGTCATATTATGTATATATACAGTGTTGTAACAATGTGCAAATAGTTAAAGTACAAATGGGAAAATAAATAAACATGGGTTGTATTTACAATGGTGTTTGTTCTTCACTTGTTGCCCTTTTCTTGTGGCAACAGGTTACAAATCTTGCAGCTGTGATGGCACACTGTGGTTATTCTACCAGTAGATAAGAGAGTTTAGCAAAATGTGGATTGTTTTCGAATTATTTGTGGATCTGTGTAATCTGAGGGAAATATGTGTCTCTAATATGGTCATACATTTGGCAGGAAGTTAGGAAGTGCAGCTCAGTTTCCACCCAATTTTGTGGGCAGTGGGCACATAGCCTGTCTTCTCTTGAGAGCCAGTTCTGCCTCTCTCAATAGCAAGGCTATACTCACTGAGTCTGTACATAGTCAAAGCTTTCCTTATTTTGGGTCAGTCACAGTGGTCAGGTATTCTGCCACTGTGTACTCTCTGTTTAGGGCCAAATAGCATTCTAGTTCAGTGTTTTTGTCAATTCTTTCCAATATGTCAAGTAATTATCTTCTTGTTTTCTCATGATTTGGTTGTGTCTAATTGTGTTGCTGTCCTGGGGCTCTGTGGGGTCTGTTTGTGTTTGTGAACAGAGCCCCAGGACCAGCTTGTTTAGGGGACTCTTCTCCAGGTTCATCTCTCTGTAGGTGATGGCTTTGTTATGGAAGGTTTGGGAATCACGTCCTTTTAGGTGGTTGTAGAATTTAACGGCTCTTTTCTGGATTTTGATCATTAGTGGGTATCGGCGTAAATATGCTCTGCATGCATTATTTAGTGTTTTACGTTGTACACTGAGGATATTTTTGCAGAATTCTGCATGCGGAGTCTCAATTTGGTGGTTGTCCCATTTAGTGAATTATTGGTTGGTGAGCGGACCCCAGACCTCACAACCATATATTGATATATATTAATATTTGTGTCATTTAGCAGACACCATGAAGGGCAATGGGTTCAGACACCATGAAGGGCAATGGGTTCTATAACTGATTCAAGTATGTTTAGTCCTAATTGGGATGTTGAATTTTATGTTCCTTTTGAAGGCATAGAAGGCCCTTCTTGCCTTGTCTCTCAGATCGTTTACAGCTTTGGGGCTTTGACGGGTGTATTTCTCTCTCTCTCTCTCTCTCTCTCTCTCTCTCTCTCTCTCTCTCTCTCTCTCTCTCTCTCTCTCTCTCTCTCTCTCTCTCTGTCTCTCTCTCTCTCTGTCTCTGTCTCTCTCTCTCTCTGTCTCTGTCTCTGTCTCTGTCTCTCTCTCTCTCTGTCTGTCTCTCTCTCTGTCTCTCTCTCTGTCTCGGCAGGTAGCTTAGTGGTTAAGAGCGTTGTGCCAGTAACCGTAAAGGTCGCTGGTTCTAATCCCCGAGCCGACTAGGTGAAAAATCTGTCGATGTGCCCTTGAGCAAGGCACTTAACCCTAATTGCTCCTGTAAGTCGCTCTGGATAAGAGCGTCTGCTAAATGACATAAATGTAAAATGTCTCTCAAATTCAAGCTGCTTTATTGGCATGAAAAACGTTGTGTCAATATTCCCAAAGCAACGATATATAATAAATAGAAAAGGCTAAACATGGAAAATGAAAGTATAATAACTAACTCATAACTAATTACCTGTCGTCCATTACATCAGTACTACAACTACCATCATCATTACTACTACTACTACCACCACCATCATTAAACTGCTATCATTACCATCACCCCTACTACCATCATCATTACTACTACTACTACCACCACCATCATTAAACTGCTATCATTACCATCACCCCTACTACCATCATCATTACTACTACTACTACCACCACCATCATTAAACTGATATCATTACCATCACCCCTACTACCATCATCATTACTACTACTACTACCATCACCATCATTAAACTGCTATCATTACCATCACCCCTACTACCATCATCATTACTACTACTACTACCACCACTATCATTAAACTGATATCATTACCATCACCCCTACTACCATCATCATTACTACTACTACTACCACCACTATCATTAAACTGATATCATTACCATCACCCCTACTACCATCATCATTACTACTACTACCACCACCACCATCATTAAACTGATATCATTACCATCACCCCTACTACCATCATCATTACTACTACTACTACCACCACCATCATTAAACTGCTATCATTACCATCACCCCTACTACCATCATCATTACTACTACTACTACCACCACCATAATTAAACTGCTATCATTACCATCACCCCTACTACCATCATCATTACTACTACTACTACCACCACCATCATTAAACTGATATCATTACCATCACCCCTACTACCCGTACCACTACTATTTAGAATAATAATCACAACAATAATAATAACAATAATATTACTACTACTACCACTAATAATAATAATAACAAGAAGAAAAATACCAATAATAATAATAATAATAATAATAATAATAATAATAAGTATGTTACTGTTTACTATGCAGATGTTATTATTCAGTGTCCCTCAGGCTATGGCAGGCAAATACATATTTGGCTGCAAGAGGAGCCGTTACTCCTTCGCCCATGAGTATTTTTAGTTTTTCCTCTGGGTTTAATAAGTTAACATTTGGAATACATGTAGTAATTTCTGTGAGTAATGAATCTCTTGGTGTCTGTCTGTCTCTCTCTCTCTCTCTGTCTGTCTCTCAGTCTCTCTCTCAGTGACTGTCTCAGTCACTCGCTGTCTCTCTCTGTCTCTCTGTCTGTCTGTCTGTCTGTCTGTCTGTCTGTCTGTCTGTCTGTCTGTCTGTCTGTCTGTCTGTCTGTCTGTCTGTCTGTCTGTCTGTCTGTCTGTCTGTCTGTCTGTCTGTCTGTCTGTCTGTCTGTCTGTCTGTCTGTCTGTCTGTCTGTCTGTCTGTCTGTCTGTCTGTCTGTCTGTCTGTCTGTCTGTCTGTCTGTCTGTCTGTCTGTCTGTCTGTCTGTCTGTCTGTCTGTCTGTCTGTCTGTCTGTCTGTCTCTGAATGGTGCCAATAAAGGGTTTCTAAAAATCTAAAGTCTTTCTCTCTAGGTCTGAACCTGGCAGCGTTCCTGGTGATCGTGTTCTCCTACTCCTCCATGTTCTACTCCATCTATAAGACTGGTATCAATGCTACAGGTAAAGGAAGAAAATAAGGTACATTTCTCCGGAGACGTATCTCTAACAGGCTGTTCTGTTACAGACTTGAGGAGCAGGCTACACAGAGACGTGGCTGTAGCTAACAGGTTCTTCTTCATCGTCTTCTCCGACGCCCTCTGCTGGATCCCCATCTTCCTGGTCAAAATACTGTCCCTGCTGCAGGTCGAGATACCAGGTGATGCACCTGAACACACAAACACATATTTCTTTTTTTTTTCCAGGACATAAAAATTAAAAAGTATATTTTCCCTTTCCTCTAAACCTAAACCTAACCCTAACCTTAACCCTAAACCTAACCCTAACCCAAAAACCCTAAACCTAACCCGTAAGCTTAAAATAGCATTTGAACAAATTCAGCACCTGAAAAAAGTCCAGACTTTTCAAAACAGTTATTGTTTTCCTACCTTGTCATTAAGGTGAAATGTGAGGACATTGGGGTCCGGATAATGTATGGAAACAAGTACACACACACACACACACACACTACCCCTCCCACACACACACACACACACACACACACACACTACCCCTCCCCACACCACACACACACACACACACACACCACTACCCCCTCCCACACAACACACACGACCCCCCCCCCCCCCACACACACACACACACACACACAGACACACACACACGACCCCGCCCACACACACACACACACACGACCCCCCCCCACACACACACACACACACTATCCCCCCCCCCCCCCCACACACACACACACACACACACACACACACACACACACACACACACACACACACACACACACACACACACACACACACACACACTACCCCTCCCACACTACCCCTCTAACGCTTTCTCCCTCCCCCTCCAGGTACCATCTCATCCTGGGTGGTGATCTTTATATTACCCATCAACAGCGCCCTGAACCCCATCCTCTACACTCTGACTACCAGCTTCTTCAGAGAACAGGTAGTGGTTAGCAGGACCAATGGGGCTCCTGGTCAAAAGTAGTACACTATATAGGGAATAGAATGCTATTTGGGACGCACCCTCTCCTAGTTGTTGTTTTTTTTCTTTAAATTTACCTGCCACCATTGGTAAATAAATACCAATACCATGTGTATGTATAGTATTCAGACCCCTTGACTTTTTCCACATTTTGTTACGTTACAGCCTTATTCTAAAATTGATTTAAATATATTTGTATCCTCATCAATCTACACACAATACCCCATAATAACAAAGTGAAAACAGGTTTTTAGAAATTATAGCAAATGTTAAAATAAATAAATAAAATAATAACGTATTTACATACGTATTCAGACCCTTTGCTATGAGACTCAAAATTGAGCTCAGTTGCATCCTGTTTACATTGATCATCCTTGAGATGTTTCTACAACTTGATTGGACTCCACCTGTGGTAAATCCAATTGATTGGACATGATTTGGAAAGGCACACACCTGTCTGTATAAGGTCCCACAGTTGACAGTGCATGTCAGAGCAAAAACCAAGCCATGAGGTCAAATTAAGTTTCCGTAGAGCTCCGAGACAGGATTGTGTCGAGGCACAGATCTGGGGAAGGGTACCAAAAAATGTCTGCAGCTTTGAAGGTCCCCAAGAACACAGTGGCCTCCATCATTCTTAAATGGAAGAAGTTTGGAACCACCAAGACTCTTCCTAGAGCTGGCCGCCCGGCCAAACTGAGCAATCGGTGGAGAAGGGCCTTGGTCAGGGAGGTGACCAAGAACCCGATGGTCACTCTGACAGAGCTCCAGAGTTCCTATGTGGAGATGTGAGAACCTTCCAGAAGGACAACCATCTCTGCAGCACTCCACTAATCAGGACTTTATGGTAGAGTGGCCAGATGGAATCCACTCCTCAGTAAAAGGCACGACAGCCGGCTTGGAGTTTGCCAAGAGGCACCTAAAGGACTATCAGACCATGAGAAACAAGATTCTCTGGTCTGATGAAACCAAGATTGAACTCTTTGGCCTGAATGCCAAGCGTCACGTCTGGAGGAAACCTGGCACCATCCCTATTGTGAAGCATTGTGGTGGCAGCATCATGCTGTGGGGATGTTTTTCAGCGGCAGGGACTGGAAGACTAGTCAGGATCGAGGGAAAGATGAACGGAAGAAAGTACAGAGAGATCCTTGATGAAAACCTGCTCCAGAGCGCTCAGGACCCCAGACTGGGGTGAAGGTTCACCTTCCAACAGGACAACGGTCCTAAGAACACAGCCAAGATAACGCAGGAGTGGCTTCGGGACAAGTCTCTGAATGTCCTTGAGTGGTCCAGTGGTTTGCTGATTTCAACATTGTGAACAGAGTGCCCCATGGTGGCGGTGGGGTTATGGTATGGGCAGGCATAAACTATGAACAACGAACACAATGGGATTTTATTGATGGCAATTTGAATGCACAGAGATACCATGATAATGCACAGCCCCATGTCGCAAGGATCTGTACACAATTCCTGAAAGCTGAACGTTTCCCAGTTCTTCCATGAACTGCATACTCACCAGACATTTGTCACCCATTGAGCATGTTTGGGATGCTCTGGATCGACGTGAACGACGGCGTGTTCCAGTTCCCGCCAATTTCCAGCAACTTCGCACAGCCATTGAAGAGGAGTGGGACAACATTCCACAGGCCACAATCAACAGTCTGATCAACTCTATGTGAGGGAGATGTGTCGCGCTGCTTAAGGCAAATGGTGGTCACACCAGATACTGACTGGCTTTCTGATCCACACCCCTACCTTCTTTTTATGCATATCTGTATCCCCAGTCATGTGAAATCCATAGATTAGGGCCTAATTTATTTATTTAAATTGACTGATTTCCTTATATGAACTGTAACTCAGTAAAATATTTTTAACTGTTTTATGTTGCGTTTATATTTTTGTTCAGTGTATATTATTATATCAACTATTAAAATTAAAACGTATAGAGATGCTGCTGTTTATCTTTTTCATTCTTCAGGAATGTTCAGCATGGCTATAAATTATAGAGAAATTGACTAAAGCACAAAAATACCTGGCAACTAGGCATGACAAAGGAAACATGAGGTGTCCATGTTTGATGTGACATTTTGAATGACTTAGATGTTTTGTTGTTGCTAGGTGGAGTTATGGTTTTCATTGCGCCTGCCTAGACTTTTATTCCTGTAACTACACACGTGAAGCTGCAAGAAAATCATATTTAAATGTGCAGTACATCAAACCATTTTCAAATGTTGACTCTGATGTCATACACTGGACCCTTTATTTATAGAAAGACCCATATATACAGTGCATGTGTATATTGAGTTTTGAATGATTTTGTATTTTGTCTTTATTTACTGTAACCAGGTAAGACATTGAGAATGCATTCTCTTTTATAATAACGACCTGACAGTTTATCTGAAATGATTTATTAAAAAAAAAAAATGTATTGATCCATTCTGTCATCTGTTTAACAATAACAGGTGGAGGTGCTGTTGTGTCGCTGGCAGAGAAGGTCAACCCTGAAGAAGAACAGAAAAAGCCTGACCGCCTCTACTGTATTCATAGAGGCCTCACGGAATACATACTACCAGCCGCCAGCATACCTGCCTACTGTACCCCGGATATCACAGACTGATACGGATCCTTGCTATGGGTGAGGGGAAGAAGGGGTGAGAGGGGACCCGTGCCATGGGAAGGAGGGAAGGAGGGAAGGAGGGAAGGAGGGAAAGAGGGAAAGAGGGAAAGAGGGAAAGAGGGAAAGAGGGAAAGAGGGAAAGAGGGAAAGAGGGAAGGAGGGAAGGAGGGAAAGAGGGAAAGAGGGAGGAGAAAGAAGGAGGGAGAGAAGGAATGAGAGAGGAAAAACTATCACCCCCTTGCCTATCTGCCCAGGGATCTCATTGTCTGATGTGGACCCTCGCTACTGGTGAGAGAGGACTTGATGACTGCTGCATATGACCAGGGCTGTTCTGAAGAGGGCTGTTCGAGACTAATGGATGGGGTTATTATTACTGCAAATGAAATGCCCTTTTGGGGGTTCCCGAATACAGGCTCTGTCGTAGCCGGCCGCGACCGGGAGACCCAAGGGATGGCGCACAATTGGCCCAGCGTCGTCCAGGGTAGGGGAGGGAATGGCTGGCAGGGATGTAGCTCAGTTGGTAGAGCATGGCGTTTGCAACGCCAGGGTTGTGAGTTCGATTTCCATGGGGGGGGCCAGTATGAAAAAATAAATAATAATGTATGCACTCACTAACTGTAAGTCGCTCTGGATAAGAGCGTCTGCTAAATGACTAAAATGTAAATAACGATTCGTGCTCAAAGCTTCAAGCGCTTCACTGGAGGAAACTCACCTCTTCCACTACAGTTACCAATGACTGTCTCCCAAATGGTACCCAGACAATGCGTAGCACCCACCTGTTGGGACCGGGAGGGACTGGGACTGTCTACATATGGATTCCTTATCAACAAACCTCTCTTTGTTTGTTTGTACATAATCTACTGAACTGTGGTGTTCCTTTAACCTTTTACTGCAGTGGGCTAAAATCAGGGTCACACAGAGTGTTTCTTGGTAGTCTTAAACAAAACTACTTTGAAACAAAAGTATACACCTCACACACATGGTTATGGGCTTAAAAAAAAAGACACATGTACCATGTCAGATATAGAGTTGAAATGTATTCCATTTTGAGTTTGCATCCCAATATTACACTTTATATACATCACAGAAGACTGAAATATAACAACACCGTTTGACATAGAAACACTGGATTTTCGGTGTAGAAAAATCATAATACATGTTTATTAAATATGCAATTATGAAAAAAACATTTATAACATTCCACCCATGAGGCCACTAGAGGGTGATTTTGTCATTTGACTGCAGGAAAGGGCTACTGAACATTCTCCCTTATCTGCGTACCAAATGGCACACTGTTCCCTAAGTAGCGCGCTTCGTTTGACCAGGGCCCACAGTATGCACTATATAGGGAATAGGGTGCTATTTGGGACGCACGCCTGGTTCTGTGTTCCTTTTTTACTACTCTTTCCTGGGATGGACCCGTCTGTGTGCTGTACATATTCAGCTGTATCTCCCCTGTCCATATTGAAACCTTACATGGCTCTGGGTTGGTACTGCATGGATATTACTTCTCACTTTACCCGCGACTGTACATAAGGAGCCTTGTCTAAGGCAGAACGGCTCACAGGGCAGGAGCCTGTCCCCTGTTTCTGTAGCGTGAAGCAGCTTCAATACACCCTTACAGAAAGAAAAAAAAACAAACATGATTTCACGTGTGGGAAAAAAAATCACACGACTTCACATGTTTAATAATGTGTGTTTTCGGAACACTTCACGTGATTTTTCATGTAGTTTTTGGAACACTTCACGTGGATTTTCACATAACCTTTCACATGTGGATTACATTTCTCACATGAGATTTCACATGAAGGGTCACATGTGGATTCAATTTCTCACACGAGATTTCACATGAAGGGTCACATGGGGATTCAACTTCTCACATTAACTGCTTCCAAGGCAGCAGCTACTCTTCCTGGGGTCCAAACATATTAAAGCACTTACATTACATGTAAAACAGTACATCATATGACATTATTACACCACTACATATCTACAATACAAAATGTTTAATACCACCATACAACAATATCATAATGTGTGCGTATGAATGTGTCTATACCCTTGTGTGTGTCTCTTCACGGTCCCCATTGTTCCATAAGGTGTATTTTTACCTGTTTTTTAAATCTGATTCTACTGCTTGCATCAGTTACCTGATGTGGAATAGAGTTCCATGTAGTCATGGCTCTATGTAGTACTGTGCGCCTCCCATAGCCTGTTCTGGACTTGGGGACTGTGAAGAGACCTCTGGTGGCATGTCTTGTGGGGTATGCATTGGTTTCCGAGCTGTGTGATAGTAGTTTAAACAGACAGCTCGGTACATTCAGCTTGTCAACACCTCTTACAAAAACAAGCAAAAATACACTCAAGAAAAACAGTGTATATTCTACAGTCAACATGACTGTCTGTCAGTATATATTCTACAGTCCACATGACTGTCAGTGTATATTCTACAGTCCACATGACTGTCAGTATATATTCTACAATCCATATGACTGTCAGTATATATTCTACAGCCCACATGACTGTCAGTATATATTCTACAGTCCACATGACTGTCAGTGTATATTCTACAGTCCACATGACTGTCAGTATATATTCTACAGTCCACATGACTGTCTGTCAGTGTATATTCTACAGTCCACATGACTGTCAGTGTATATTCTACAGTCCACATGACTGTCAGTATATATTCTACAGTCCACATGACTGTCAGTGTATATTCTACAGTCCACATGACTGTCAGTATATATTCTACAGTCCACATGACTGTCAGTGTATATTCTACAGTCCACATGACTGTCAGTATATATTCTACAGTCCACATGACTGTCAGTGTATATTCTACAGTCCACATGACTGTCTGTCAGTATATATTCTACAGTCCACATGACTGTCAGTATATATTCTACAGTCCACATGACTGTCAGTGTATATTCTACAGTCCACATGACTGTCAGTGTATATTCTACAGTCCACATGACTGTCTGTCAGTGTATATTCTACAGTCCACATGACTGTCAGTATATATTCTACAGTCCACATGACTGTCAGTGTATATTCTACAGTCCACATGACTGTCTGTCAGTGTATATTCTACAGTCCACATGACTGTCAGTATATATTCTACAGTCCACATGACTGTCAGTATATATTCTGCAGTCCACATGACTGTCTTTCAGTGTATATTCTACAGTCCACAAGACTGTCAGTATATAGTCTACAGTCCACAAGACTGTCAGTATATATTCTACAGTCCACAAGACTGTCAGTATATATTCTGCAGTCCACATGACTGTCTTTCAGTGTATATTCTACAGTCCACAAGACTGTCAGTATATAGTCTACAGTCCACAAGACTGTCAGTATATATTCTACAGTCCACAAGACTGTCAGTATATATTCTACAGTCCACATGACTGTCTGTCAGTATATATTCTACAGTCCACATGACTGTGTACTACTGTCTGTCTGTCTGAAATGCATATGATGGTATGAGAAGAGGGATCTGTACACAACGAATAAAACAATAAAAACTGTCATAATGTTTTGTGTAGACTATGAAAGGTGTGGCGCTGTTGGGAATGTAGGTTGTTCAGACGTGGAAATGCTGGCTTCAACGGATAAGGTGAAACACCACTGTATTTTGATTGGGTTTATTCAAGACATTCTCCGTCTTTCTCCAAAGTCTCACGGTCTGAACCCTCATTATATCCCCGGCCTGGGATCAGACCAGGCGTTACAGAGGTTACGCTTCTTATTTGACCATTCGCTCAGTGCCAGGCCCAGGCAACATAACTCAAGCCTATAAACCATCTGGGTCAAAGCGGACCATATATTAGTCCCTAGCATTTCCTCTCAACACCACACCACCGTAGCTGAGACACAGCCGGTGAACCCCAGGGGCCCCCCCCCGCGATTCAGTCAGATCCGCTTTAGCCGACATTGTGCAGCCAACGGCAATGTCCACTTGAAGTGCCGCTTGTGGATTTGACAGCTCTAACTAACGCAGTTTCCGCCTCCGACACCGTCAAATCATCAGCTGTGCGGGAGACTCATTAAAAAGAATGCCCATGCAGCCTTGTTTACTCAAATCAAACCAAGCTTTATTTATACAGCACATTTCAGACATGGAATACAACACAATGCGCTTTACAAGAAAAAAAAAAATAACAACAATGAAATATTTACTAGACAACAAACATAAGAGGAGAATAAAACACAAAAGAACAATAAAAACTGAAGGACTAAAAAGCTCCCTGAGGAAAAAGCAAAGCTAAGAAGGTGTGTTTTAAGGTCTCTTTTAAATATGTCCACAGTTACGGCCCCCTTCAGGTTCTCTGGCAGGCTATTCCAGAGGCTGGGGGCATAGTAACTAAAGGCTGCCTCTCCATGCCTCTTGGTCCTGGGCTTTGGGATAGATAAAAGGCCAGTTTCCAGAGGACCTGAGGGACCTACTGGGTACACAACTTTGTGGTGGAAGAATGATTACATAAGCTTCTGAATTCTTTAACCCTGGCTATATGGTTGTGTGTATTGGTAGCTATAATGTAATACATAGTTGCTAAATGACAGGACGTTTCAGTGTGGGTGTTAGCAGACAATACCCAAGAGAGAAGATTAAGCTTGAACGTCCTCTGAGAACTTTTATACCAGGATACACACAACACATAAACACGATTCATCCTCAGCACAAGGGAGGAGGTTTGATTCATCCTCAGCACAAGGGAGGAGGTTTGATTCATCCTCAGCACGAGGGAGGAGGTTTGATTCATCCTCAGCACGAGGGAGGAGGTTTGATTCATACTCAGCACGAGGGAGGAGGTTTGATTCATCCTCAGCACAAGGGAGGAGGTTTGATTCATCCTCAGCACGAGGGAGGAGGTTTGATTCATCCTCAGCACGAGGGAGGAGGTTTGATTCATCCTCAGCACGAGGGAGGAGGTTTGATTCATCATTACAGCCCCCTGGCAGAGCTTCTGACTTACCTGGACTGAGTGTGC